AGAAAAGTGTAATCCCTTCTTTCTTTCTTTCTTTTTTTTTTTCGATCGATAAACCGACTTAGAATTTGAGAATTAAGTAACTCGTTTTAATACTTTCATTATTATTATTATATTTATCCTTTCACCGATCGATATCGTGAAGTTTGATTCTTTTTCACATAAGAAAAGAAACATTGTTCTTCATCGTTCTTTCTCTTTCCAATCCTTTCATTTTCGTTGTCGTTTTCCTCTTTTTCAAGCTTGAGAGCTTGAGAGAACTCAGGAGAAATTGACTAAGAACAACGTTATGTAACCACGGAGGGAAAAGGAGGCTGAGGTCGAATTCGTTTCACCGTGGCACGGTTAAGGTCGACTCGTAGGAATTGTTAAATCACTTCGAAGGGTTGTCTTTCACCCCTTATTTTGGATATACTTCGATTTATATTATTTGCTTCTTATCTTCGATACCGCTCAATCATATATTCAAAATAAGCGGATAAAAGAGAACTCACGAATGGAATATTAATGTGATATAACATTAAATTGATTCGATCAATAGAAGTTCATTTAAATGAAAATTAAAATTGAAATAATCTTATATAAAAAAAAAAAAAGTAAAAAAAAAAAAAAAAAAAAAAAAAAAGGGAAACACGTATAATCTGCAAATTTAAATTCGATTATGATATTTATAACTAAGTTAAGGTAAGGATTTTAGGGTAATGAATTCTAGGAAAAGGAATAAAATATATTCTTAAGAAATGGAAGGATAAAGAAAGATAGCTTTCTACAAGATATCACGTTGTTAGTAATTAAACGAAATGAAATTCCTTGATTTAACCATCTATAAAACGATAACTCTAGTCTCTTCCGGTGTACACCATCGTACTATAAGTCGTATCGATTTCGCCTACGAACTTTATATAGTAGATATGTATACGTATATATATATACCTACATCCAATGCCTACGGATTTCTTCTTCTAATCGTCTTACATAATACCTACGCGTTATCTTCTACCTATTTTAGTATCAACGATAGAAATGAATGCATGGAGTTTATTATATCGAATAACTAAATCAACGTGTGTGTGTGTGTGTGTGTATGTATATAAATGTGAAATCATTTAAGAAAAAATTTATTTGTTTTTCTCTCTCTCTCTCTCTCTCTTTTTTCTTTTTTTAATTTTCATCGAAATATCTATTACGTTCGTTGAATTAGATTAAAATAAAATAAAGTAAATTCACCCTAACTCTTACCATAGCAGGTCAGTTTCATCCTGACCATGACCGACGTCAAGGCAAGAAACTTCGAGCAAGGAGAGTTAGGATGAAAGAGGGGAGAGCAGAGAGAGAGAGAGAGAGAGCAGAGAGAAAGAGAGAGAGCTTTTCGTAACCTACGAAACGGCGCAAGGTCAAACGTCTCTCTTCTTTTTCTAGACGAATCGGAATTTTACAAAAATCGAGATAAGTGCGATATTTACGTTAAGGAAAAAAAAAAAAAGAAGAAAATAAAGAAGATGGATGACAATGAATGATATATTGTTTGTAAATTTAGAACGATGATGAATAAAATCAACGAATGAATCGACTAAAGGAGAAAAGGTCGAAGATCAATCGTATATATCCAATTCAAAGGAAAATTTGCTTAATTCGAATGAAAAATTACTCGGCAATATATGACAAAAAAGGCAACAATCTGTGAACTTTTGAAACGATTTTGTAAGATAAGACTGAAGCGTGGTAAATAAGTCGGCCATTATTTTATTGGCTGATAAGAAGAATCAGATAGTAAATTTCTATCGTCTTGGTTCTCTTCAAAAGAAAGAAAGAGAGAAAGAAAGAAAATAAAAGAGAGAGAGAGAGAGAGAGAGAGAAAGGGATAAGAGAATATAATATCATTTGAGTAATAAAAATTGCATGTCTTGCGTAGTTAAGAGAGAGAAAGAGAAAAAGAAAAAGAAAAAAAAAAAAATAGGAATTGAATAAAATAAAAGAATTGAGCTTATCAGTCGTATATTAACCGGACATCGATAATCAACACGAAGCAATGTTTCAAATTTTATCATTATCGTGATAGCGAGATAGAGCTTTGTTTAGAGAGACTTTTATATTCGTTATACGACAAGAAAAGGAGAAAAAGAGAGAGAGAGAAATAGATAGATAGATGGATAGATAGATAGATAGATAGAAAAATATATATATATATAGAGAGAGAGAGAGAGAGAGAGAAACAGCTATCGATATTCCTACATACGTGTTCGTTTCAACATCGAACTCGATTAAAAGCTTACTTACGAAAGCAGTCGATATAAATGCATGTGATGTAACGCAACGAATGGTAAGGAAGTTTTATCGTTAATTTTGTAAACTTTCGCTTGCTTCTTCGGCCGTGTCAGACGCCAATGAAAATATTCAAAAGGCGAGTTCATAAATCATATGGTTAAAAGAAACACAAGATAAATAAGATTCCCATTAAAATTTTGAAATAGAAATCCATAATATAGTATAATTGTATAAACATTATATATATATATATGTATGTATGTATGTATGCATGTGTGTATAAGCAAAGAAGAATGAATACATTGAAGCGACAAAAATACATAATTTGGACGATCGATATTTCAAAGAGTTTCTCCTATTATTTCTGTTTTTCCATGTACGAAAATCTCAATGTTGACGATAAGGACTATCCGAAAAATCTTTTATCCAAATTGGACTCTTTTGTGTTGACTCTTAATTAGATTAGATAATGATTGTTCCAATTTCTTTCTTTCTCGCTCTTTCTCTTTCTTTCTTTCTTTCTTATTAAAGGTGAACGTTGCGCATACTATCGATGAAGTTGAGTTTAACGCCAACGCCTTTAACTGTGCCAACAAAGAGAAAGATAGACGTCGAGACTCTCGTAAACACGACATTGGCAACAGAATGAGATCGGTCAGAAGTCTCGAACAAGTCTACGTCTCTCTGACAGCTTCGTTCTGACAATGAACGCTTTGCTGTCCCTATCTCTCTCTCGGATTCTGTCTCTAGATTGATCTATCTTCGTCTCTCTCTCGCTCGCTCGATTTCTCCCTTTCATTCTCACTTCGATCCTCTTAACTCTAATCTCTCGTTACAAATAAGAGAGAGACTGAGAGAGAAGGGTGAGGGGAGGAGGGGGTGTAGTCGATGGCAAAGTCAAAATTATGTGACTGCCATTGCTATTACTACATGCGCATCAAGGACAACGATACGAATGCTCGCATATACGTGGACCGTTTAGACAAGTGATTTGCAGGTGCAACTTACGATATAACTGCGAAGATGCAACTAATTTTCTTTCTTTCTTTAGTACGTTCAACGTACTGTATAACGTCATAACGTCATCTTACTAACATTACAAATATATTCGTTAGAAAAGCAAGTAGGATCGAACATCGATGATAGTCGTTTATCGGTGAGCACATTTACTCGATTGTTTGATCAGGTAAGCAAAGATAAAATAATCCTTCTCTCAGATATTTGGATTGCCAGATATGTGAATTATTTATAAACCTTTTATCCGGATTCTATAAATATAATCGGATAATTATATTTTACTCGGAGAATTGTAAAATGATGATTCGGCTAATAATTCTCCTGGAGTTGTGGGTCGTTAAACGAACGCTAATGCTAAAAATAATTCTCATTGAATTATTAAACTGTAATTCGAGCCATGTTCGACGTATAAGAGCAAAGAACGAAAGTGGAAAATAATAACAACAATAATAATAACAATAACAACAACAACAACAATAATAATAATAATAATAATAATAAAACGAATATAATGAACGTCACGTGGTGCATTGTGCACTGTTACGATAAAAAAAAAAAAAAAATAAAAAAAAAAAAAAGAGAGAATCAAATTCGTTCTATACCGATTATATTTTTAATTCGTCGAGGAAAAAAGTCTAAAACATTAGATTCGAAAGTCCCGCCATAAATTGGTCCGCGCTACTTTAATGGAATTCGAGTTTGTGGAAACGATTCGATAGGCTCCGTGCTTCGATGAATCGTAATCGATACGTAACTTTTCCGCTTCTTTATTCCCGTTTTTGATCCGAGAATCGTTTCATTATAAAGGTAAAACATTTTGCGAATAGTCGTTAATTACACAGCAACATTGTACGTACTTAGGCACACCTACTTTTACAAAGAACGTTCATATCGAGAACGAGGAAACAGGATAAAAATATTTACTCATTCGCTCGGACAATTTTGATGACAAAAACATGTTAACAAGAATGATTAAATGAGTTGATACGAGCATTGTCGACGCGTTGAATTTCGAGGCGGCACAAAAAAAAAAAAAAAAAAAAACATGGCGTCGTTGTATAGAGTTCAATGAAACCTATTTTAAATATGGCGAAGGTGTAGGAATAGAATGTTCCGTGCGAAAACCCTGCATTCTTGAAAGATCCTAAACGCCGAGCGTTCCATTTCGTCTTCTTAATCGAATAGTACACTCAACGTTTTCTCTCTTTTCTTGTATTTTGCGTCCCTTGTATGTAAAAGCGTGTCATGTATGTAAAGAGAAGCTTTTGAGCGATTCCTTCGAGCGGATTCGCTCGAAGTACATATTACATATTCCTAAGTTATATGAAAGCTACGAGAGAACATAAAATGGCGTAAGTATATAAAAAGAACGCTTCTCATGATGTTGAACGCTAATTAGATCGTAAATACGTGTACAAGCACCACCAACCGAAGTTGTAGTCCTAGGGAATTTGAGAAATCTTAAACTTCTCTCTTTCTCTCTCTTCCATTGCTATTTTGTTCGGGAGCAAATTTTTCACGAGGGGCTGACAGTAACGTTCACTCGTTCTCTCTCTCTTTCTCTCTCTCTCTCTCTCTCTCTCTCTCTCTCTCTCTCTCTCTCTCTCTTACACCCTTCCTTTCTTCTTCTCCCTCCACAGAAACGTAGCGCGACGCGACGTTGCCAGTGAGGACGTTGTTCGCGTCGGCGCGGTTACAGAGTAGAAGCAACGTTGCCAGTGAGGTGAATGCTGATGAAGAAAGAGAAAGATAGACAGAGTGAAAGAGAAAGAGGAAGAGAGACAGAGACAGAAAGACAGAGAAAGAGAGATAGAGATAGAGACCGAGAGAACCGGTGGTAGCCACGAGGAGGAGCACGGTCGGTCGAACCGACCCAATAGTCAGTTTTTGCCTCTCGTACGCAGTGGGCGACGCTGCTCGTGACGGGACGCACGAGCGTGTCATGTCACACGCGTGACAAGAGTGTAACGCCGCAACTATACGGCGGGACAGAGAGACTGACGAAGAGATATTGAAAGAGGGAGGAAGGAGGGAAGGAAGGAAGGAAGGAAGGAAGGAAGGAAGGAAGGAAGGAAGGAAGGAAGGAAGAGAGAGAGTAGAACGAAAGAAAAAGAGAGGGAGGGAGAAGGTAACGTGTGCGTGCGGTCGTTGTGCCGTGGCGGGTTTTATTTCCCGTGTGCGATTTTAGGATCGAATTAATCGAACCATCAGAACACGCACGCACAATTATGTTACCGGCTTCACAAGGCGACAGCAGTAATAGTATCGTCACCGCCGCCACCATCGCCGCCACCACCACCACGACCATCCACCATCATCATCATCATCATCACCACCACCACCAATACCACCACCATCGTAAACTTTGTAACCGTCAACGACGACGATGAAAACGAGAAGCTCTCCACTTTAAGATCACGCGCCGGATTTTTCGCAAACGGTTAAGAAATCAGACCACGACTACTCTACTAAATATCGCCGGCTCACTTCCGAATAATTCGCTTTTCCGCGGCATCGCCGTGATTTTTGAATAGGTAGGTAGATGATAATAATAAAGAAAAGAAAGTGACAGAGAGCGAGAGTGAGTGAATGAGTGTGTGTGTGTGTGAGAGAGAGGGAGAGAGAGGGAGAGAAAGAGAAAGAGATAAAAGTAGGATTATTTGTTTTTATAGAAGGATTCGCAAGCAAGCACGTGTGTTCGATTCGAGAAAACTAGAACAAAAGGGGGGGTAGGGAATTAAAGCTGTTTTTAAAAGAAAAGAAGAGAGAGAAATTGCATTGAGAATGCGTGTGTGACGTGGGATTAGAAATCGTGAACATTATCCGCGGTTAATTCGTAGGCTGTTGACGAGATAGAAGAAAGAGTCCCTTAGGACATGGGAGATTCTTGTTGTAGTCGAGAATATCGTCACGTTGCAGGTCTTAGGAATGAGGGAGCGAGCTTTGGCGAGGGTTTCGCGGTGGTGGTTGATCTTACTCTTCGTGGTGGTGTGCGTCGAGGGTACGCAAACTCCTTCGTCGTCTTCGATCTCGGGAAAGAGATCTTCGACGGGGATAGAATGTGCCGCGGGTTGCGAATGTACGGAGAACGAGGAAAGTCTCTTCTGCGAGTCACGCAGCTTTCTTGGTCTTGGGATACCGCAAGAAGCGGACACCGTTATCCTGAAGAATGTTCAAGCTGCCGCGATTCCAGTTGCGGCATTGGAAACCTCTGCTGCTCTGAGAAGTCTCATTTGGACGTCAAGTGGAATAGAAAGAATAGAGTCTGGTGTATTTCGAGCGACGGAATCTCTCGAGAGCCTCAACTTAGGTGATAACAGGCTGGCAGAACTGCCATCGGACGTCTTCCACCCGTTGCGCCGACTACAGTACCTGAATCTCACCGGTAATCGATTGATCACCCTGCCGCAGGTCCTCTTTCAGGGCCTCGATAATCTCCACGAGATACGTCTAGCGACAAATCATTTGTCCGTACTGCCCTTCCAAGCATTCGGTCCAGTAAGAGGATTACTCCGTCTGGATTTAAGCGAAAATTTGTTAGTATCTCTGCCGGATCATAGCTTTAGACCCAACAAGCAATTGGAAGAACTCCGATTATCAGCCAACAGACTCACGAAATTACCCTCGAGACTCTTCTCCGGTCTTGCTCTGTTAAAAGTGCTCGAATTAGCCGACAACGAGATCGATGTACTGCCACGTGGTCTTTTCGCCGAGCTCACATCCTTGGAATATTTGGATCTAGCTGGCAATCCCGTTATTCGTCTGACAAATGCAGTCTTTCAAGGTCTCTCCAATCTACGATGGCTCAATCTCGAGAGGTTACCAATCTCCAAGCTACCTGAAGATCTCTGGCGACCGACTAGCAAATTGAGAACTCTTTTACTGTCCGGCACTCAATTAGAGATACTTCGGGATCAGAATTTCGCAGGATTGTTGGAATTGGAGACTCTCGAATTAACAAATAGTCCATTGCGTGAGATCTCTCGACACGTGTTAGACGATACGCCGTCCCTTCGAAGGATAAATTTACGGGACAACGATTTAGCTTTCCTTCCAGCCAACGTTGCTCAATTACCATATCTTGGAGAATTACAGCTTCAAGGGAATCCATGGGCCTGCGATTGTCGTATGTTCTGGTTTGTAAAATGGGCGGAAAGCAGAACTCATTTACGTGCAGCTTTCAAAAGTGGCCTCAGGTGCGGACATGAGAACGATGGTACCATCAATACCTTGCAAACTCTTCGTTATCTAAATTGTACATCACCGACCCTGGCACGGGTCTCTTTCGCCAATCAGTATCTATTGCTTAGTTCGGTTTTACTGGAGTGCGAGTTTAATGGCAATCCGGCGCCGTCCTTGGCTTGGGTCACTCCAAAGCTCAAGGTTCTTCACTGGAACCCCGATCCGGCATTCCCTGATGCATTTGTAGAGCATCCTCACATACATGGATGGAAACTGGACGAACCGGTCGACGATGATGGGAGGATACGCATTCTGGAGAATGGCTCTTTGTACATTAGCAAACTACTCAGGCAAGACGTTGGGATTTACAGATGCTTCGCTATTAATCCTATAGCGAATGCAACAGCCTATATTATGTTGGCAATGGATCCTATAACACTTCATAACATCCAAATCTTCAGTATAGTAGTGGGTGGAGTCAGCGCAACGGCCTTCCTCCTGTTGACTCTATTTTTGCAGTTGATTCGATACTTTTTCCTGAGGTGATTATTCGTGCTGATTTCTTTTTTATTTACGTCATAAACCGGTTTCTTGATCATAATATATGAAACCAACAAAATCTAATATTTACATCGTTGTTTGCTATCGACCAAAATGTTCAATTATTGTTTGCTGAAATGATACAGCTTGTGTAAAGTAGTTCGGTAGAAGGTCAGGAGCGATCGATAAACATTACTTAAAGAATTACTTCTACGGTTAATTTTTCTTTCGATAAATATTCTTCTAATCTTACCACGATATTTTCCAGGTGCGGTTGTATAAAATGGTGTATTTGCTGCAGGCGCGTGGGTGCGACCCCAAGAGCAAAACAAATTTATCAGATGTTGGATAATATAGAACAGTATAAGAGTCAACAATTGGAGAGATTGCGTGAAAATTATACTCAACAAGTGCATAGAATCAAGGACAACTGTGTTCAGCAAGTGGAATGGATTCGGGATAGTTACGAGGGTCAGATGAGACACATACGCGACATCAGGGACTATGGTACCAGTCATCTCACCGCACTAAGAGACCAATATTACGATCAGGTAATGATACGATGACGAGTTTGCATGAAAAACTTAAATATTCATCAATACTCAGATAAACATATCAATTCGGATTGATTACTAACTTCTTGCGAAGTAAATAACAAGATAGATCGCAATGACTTGCATTAGATATCCATTAAGTTTCCTCCTACTTTTGCGATAAGAAAAATATGTGTTTCAAAGAATTTCCTTTTTTTTTTTTTTTTGGTAACAGGTGAAGAGAGTACGAGATTACTCAACAAGTCAGCTTAATTGGGTGCGAGAAAATTACGTCTTCCAACGGAATAAGATTCGCAAGTTCAGTGCTCATCAGGTATTACGGCTAAGGGAAAGCTACAAATATCAACAGCAAACGTTAAACAAGGTATTGGAGAATCTACCGAATCTTTATTTCGACAATTGTCGAAGTGGTTCCTGTGGAAAGAGCGATTCCGTTGTTTTTGAGAACAGTAAAGAGGATGGTTATGGAGGACCAGATACGTACTTCAAAGCAAAGATCAACGATATGACGGCGGGTACTAGTTTAGAAGATATGAACAGCGAATATTATACACCCACGGAATTATCCTCTGTCAGTCCACATGGTATGAATACATTGGAAGGTATTCATATAAATTATATCGAAAACAGCGGACCAAGGGCACCGCTGCAAATCATACTTCCCCCGCCTTCCCCGGTCATATTGCATTGCATCGAAGAATACGGAAGTTCTACGTCCGTTTGCAATGAGTTCGATCAGAGTAAACCGGTTTACAAAGGTTCCAGCGCGGAGATATTGGCCGGAGAATCGCGAAACGTACCGGAGATCCTCGGACTACTCGCTCCATGCACCAGTTTACCAGAACTTCCACGCGAGACTAAACTCTAGCCTATCAGAATTGAGCGGTGCACAAGCAGCAAAACCACTACAAGAAGCAACGCGACTCTTTCATTCTTCAACGATGGAATTGACGCGAGGGTGTATTTTGCTTGGTGAACATTAGATATATTAAATAATAATAATAATAATAATAATAATAATAATAATAATAATAATAATAATAATAATAATAATAATAGTGAGAAAAAAAAGATTAAATGGAAGCTGTGCTTTCGTAATGGCCATTGTTCAAAGTTGTTCCGCGGGGCTAAATCGCGTTAACTTCTCATCAAGAATTCGAATGGCGGATGTTGCTGTCCATCTTTGAGAGAGAAAAAGAGAGACATCCGACAACATTCGAGGTGAACGAACTTCAGTGCCAAGGAACCGAACAATTTTTCTGTTCTTTTTTTCTCTCTTTTTTTTTTCCTTTTTCTTCCGTGCGTTCGACGAACGTCGAATTCGTGTAATATGTGCGCGATACTTCATGGGGACGTTTAAGGGAAAAACAAAAGAAAAGAAGAGAAAAAAAAAATGCGGACAGCTTCCAAAGAACAAAATAACGTATCTTGGAAATTGTCCGCTCACGATATACTTTTTCTTTTGATCGTTATATATCGTTGTCGGAAAAAAAAGGGGGAAAAAAAAAAACAAAAAACAAAAACAAAAAAAAAACAAAAACAAAAAAGAAAAATAAAAAAAAAGCAAAGTACATTCGAGAGAGAAAGAAAATTTTATTTTAATGAGAATTTGATCAAATTTCTGAATGAAAGTGCGCGTAAAATATGATAGATCAAGAGGGAGAGGAACCCGGTCGAGTCGATCCATTAGAGTTCCTCAAAAAAAAAAAAAAAAAAAAAAAAAAAAAGAAAGAAAGAAAGAAAGAAAGAAAGAGAAAGAAAAAGAAGTACGATAAAATTCAAAAGATCGTCCTCTTGATTCTATCCATCCACTTTTAAACGCGCGCCATTTTATCGAGTATTTACGTATGTTAACACAACGCGTTCTGCGAAAGACTGAATCGCGACCAACCAACATACCGTATGGTCATAGTCGTCGATTGGCGAGTTCGATTCGCCGTTTGATAGTTCCGCTGTAATTGCTTTTTTCCCCTAATCTCCAAATTTTTTTTTTTTTTTTTCTAGATCTAAATCAACGGGAAAACAAGCGTTCAGAAATTTTTATTCTTCTTCTTCTTTTTGTTTCTCTCTTTCTTTCCTCTCTTTTGAACACATCACACACACACACACACACATACATACATGAACAGATTCTCTCTCTCTCTCTCTCTCTCTCTCTCTCTCTCTCTCTCTCTCTCTCTCTCTCTCTCTCTCTCTCTTTTTCCTTGCATTTTTCAATACTCTGGACGCCTGTTTGATCATTGTATTTTTGATTCTTTTAAATTGCTATCACAAAGTGTCTCCAAAGGATGGAACAAAAAAACAAAAAAAGAACACATACACAGACACACACAAAGTTATTAAAGTTTATCCAGAAAAAGGAAAATCATAAAATGTGTTAAATCATGCATGTACTTAATTCATGATCACGTCGCATCACCACATTTAATTAGCACGTCGACCATCGTTGTGTACATAATTGGATGGATTGAATGGACAAATCGTAATTAAAAAGAATAAAAAAAATATTCGGCCTTGAAGTATCGACATGTCAATTGGGAATAGTTCATCTCTTCCTTTTTACTTTTTTTGTGTTTTGTTTATTTTCTTTTATTTCGTTCGCGTACGTTTTTTTTTCCCAACAAGAAATTTCTTCCAGTCTCTTCGGATTTTACAATGAAAATGTTCTAGTGAAATTTCCATTTGATTCTTTCCTTTTTTTTTTTTTTTTTGGTCATAATTTTCATTCACCGATCACCTATCCCTTTTCCTATAACGCGATCGTATATTAGACATGATAGATAGATACGATTAACGTTAGCTTCTCTAGTCTTCCTGTATTTAATTTAAACGAATGATTTGAAAGAAAAAGAACACGATGAGGATCGTTAGCGATCGAGATTTTATTCCTAGGATGAGAAATAAGAAAAATGATGAGAGAAGGAAAAGAAAATATATATATATATATATAAAATAATAATAATAGTAATAATAATAAAAAAAAAAAATTATAAAATAATAATAATAATAATAAAAGAGATATATTAAAAGACTCTGTGATTTAAAGACAAAACAAAGCCGTTCTACGAGCAACGAACGGATTCTAAGCAGCTGTGATTAGTCGATAGAGTCGTGCCTTTTGCACGGACAAATGATACACGTATATACCGATGATATCGCTTGTATGAGGTTATCGAACGAATATCTTCTATCTTCGCTTCGTCTTTTGTGAAGGATCGGCTTGAGATCGAAGAAGAAGAAAGAGGAGGAAAAGAGGAGAAGGAGGAGAATCGAGATTATTGTTCCGTTTCATTTTTATCAAAGAAAATAACTTGACAAGATTGTAGAACGAGGTGAAGTAATGTTGAATTCATGAATAGAACACTGCTCTATCGAAAGTGCATAATAATATACATGCTATATATACGTAGTAGAACAGGGCGAGGACGACGAAGAGGTTTTTCGGTGACTCATTCAGTAACATTACGCGTATTTCTTTGAGAGAGAGAGAGGGGGGAGACCGATTTTTCTAATGCACGAGATCAGGCACAATCTCATGCCAGGCTTATCTATCTTTATCTTTATTTCTATTTCTATTTCTATCTCTATCTATCTATCTATCTATCTTTCTCTCTCCCTCTCTCTCTCTCCCCCTTCGTTTCAATAACCTACAGAAAAAGAATGCAATAACTTTAACTCCTTCAAGGTCGAATCATTTTGGAACGTTCCATGCACTTTTCCGCTTTACAGTCATTAAAATCATACGCCGAATCATTGCATATATATATATATATATATATATATATATATATATATATATATACTTTATATATACATTGCATATATATGTATATATACATATATACATACTTTTTTATCTTGTTTATTTTTCGTTCCTTTTTTCTTTTTGTTCTTTTTTACGACTTTCTATTGTTATTATCTTTCTTTGTGAACCAATTAGAAATA